GATTCATATTGTTCCGTGTGCATGCAGCAAGCATGGTGATACACATGTGTAGGCATGAACGGGCCCATATAGCTTACCTTTCCCTTTCGCACTTAAAGGAGAACTATGGGGTTAAGGCTTTTCCCCATAGTTCTCCTTGGGGTAACGGGGGGACACAAACTAGCGTCCTCCCGTCACCCTAGGCTCAGTATACCGCGAGCTGTAGCTCGCAGTATACTGAGACGCCGCAGCTGAAGCGGATCCTGACAATTGTGCCGGGATCCGCCCAGCTGCGTGACTGACAGCTGGCTCTGCCTATCTAGAGGCAGAGCCAGCTGTACCCGCCCCCTCTCCCGTCCGTTCCGCCAGTCAGCGCTGGCGGATTGGAGCGGGGAGGGGGGAATCCAGCCCATCCCCTATCACGGCAGAGAGCCGTGTTCGCTCAACTCCCGATCTACTGAGCCGACCTGTGACAGTCTCATTGTCACAGGTCGGCTAGAACTATGAGGTGAGTGAAAAGCACTCACCTCATAGTTGTCCTTTAAGGTCTCGTTCACACCTAGGCGTATTGCATATGCGCGCCTGTCGCGTGTTTTTTTACCGCGATTCGCGGTAAAAAAGTTGCGCGACCGTCGCGCATTTCCGAAGGCTACTTGGCTGTATCCCAATGGAAACGCGCAACAAAACGGCCCAAAGTAGTACCTGTACCTTTTCAGGCGTGGGCCGTTTTGTAGCGCGTTAGGGACGGGCGGAAATACACCAAGGTGGGAACGAGACCATTGAATACAATGGGATTTATATTTTTGAGCGTTTTGTAGAGCGTTTTGTAGAGCGTTTGTCGAGCGTAGAACGCGCTACAAAACGTTCAGGTGTGAACGAGGGCTAAAGGAGGTAAATCTTAAAAATGCATTCAAGTACCTTAAAATTAAACAAAAATGTATCTTATTTGTGTATCACTCAGCTGTAGATCCCCAAATCATCTCTGAATTGGTGCTGGCACTGTCTTTCCTTCTGGAGGGTGGCTACTTTTGGTCCCTGTGTGCAGTGGCGTCACAAAGTGGCGTCACAAGAAGGGTGCATACCAGGTGACACCATCAAAGGGGGAGACACCAAAAGGACTGGAAGTCATTTTGGTGTCACACCTGTTAAAAGACAGGCACTCAGTCATCGCCCAAGAGCCCGACAGCAGCAGGAGAGAGAGGGGGGGACCTGGCGGGATCAGGTTCCCTCCTTTCTTTGCTGGCGTCCTTCACCAGGATGGCTGCTGGCAGTGAAGTACATCACCGTGCATGCGTAATGGCGTTGCACAATAAACACCATAACACATGAACAGCAGCCGCACCGGTTGACACCCACCCTGGTGCCGCCGATTCTTGTCAGTGTTGTAAAGTAGCTACCGCTACAAACTCACTCCCATGATTGACTACAATCTCAGTACAAATCGGTAAATGAAATGTGAGATTGTAGTCCATCACAGAAGCTAGCTTGAAGCGGTGGCTACTTTATAACACACACAGGGACCATGGGGAACAAATGTAGCCACCCTCCAGAAGGAAGGACAGTGACAGCACCAATTCAGAGATGATTTCACAAATAAGATACAGCTTCGGTAATAGTTGGGGTACCTGAATGTATTTTTAAGATTTAAAGTGACACTAAACTCAGGAGTTAAATCTTAAACATGCATTAAAGTACCTTAACTATTAACAAAAATCTATCTTATTTGTGTATCACTCGGCTGTAGATACTCAAATCATCTCTGAATTGGTGCTGTCACTGTCCTTCCTTCTGGAAGGTGGCTACTTTTGTTCCCCATTGTCCCTATGTGTGTTGTAAAGTAGCCACCGCTCCAAGCTCACACCTGTGATGGACTACAATCTCAATACAAATGAGTAAACTGGATGTGAGATTGTAGTCCATTGGAGTGAGCTTGGAGCGGAGGCTTTTTTACAACACACACAGGGACCATGGGGAACAAAAGTAGTCACCCTCCAGAAGGAAGGACAGTGTCAACACCAATTCAGAGATGATTTGAGGATCTACAGCCAAGTGATAGACAAATAAGATAAATTTTTTGTTAACAGTTAAGGTAATTGAATGCATTTTTATGATTTAATTCTTGAGTTTAGTGCCACTTTAACTCCTGAGTTTAGTGTCTTACAGTAACTCTTGAGTTTAGAGTCACTTTAATTGTATCACATAGATGATCACATAGTGAACCAATCACAAAAATTGGATTTCTACTTGCAATACATCTTCATGCAGCAAAATGCATACATCTTGCTGCATAAAAATGAGCAAATCTGAATAAGCCCTAACACATCTACCTCATCTGTGTCCCAGAAATCCCATCCAATCTGTAAACAAGCTTCCCACAAACTCTTGCAATACTTTAGAGCTACATAACCACCACAGGATGTCAGTGTTGTAGAAATCACTGAACTACAGTACTAAATCTTAATTCTCTATGTGGCAATGAAAGCAATGGAGGAAGCAGAGTGTCTGTAACAGGCTAAATCAAAATCATCTTTGCATTTACACAAAAAAACAAAACAAAAAACACAAAAGCATGTTCTGCAAGATTAACATAATACAATTTTATCAATCTCATCCAAGCAACACATAAACATCCCAAAAAACAAACAAACAACAATTTGACGTCAGATGTAAATATAAAACCACAACAGATCATGTTGTTTTGATGGATTGGATGACAACACCAAGCGCAGGAATAGGTAAACAGTACACCCTGTGTGTCCAAAAGGTAGCTAAAATGAAGAATATATATATACACATACATACATACAATACATTGTTTTATTAAATACATCAAAATGAAAATTATTAGTATTTTTGCAGCACAGTGCATATGACTGCTGAGTGATTACAATCTCCCCCAACTGGAATGTTTTAAATTAAAATGCATTCATCATTAGCTGATCATGTTTGCCAAAAAGGAAAATAATAATCACAATTCCGAATTAGCCATCATCACCAAGAAAATAATCTACATAGATGAACCCTGCATTGGTACCTGCTTGGAGCAGGTTACCATAAGCAATATTCTCTTTAATTTCAAGCACAAAGACCTAGAAAAAACAAGTCAGCAGAAAAAAAAACAGGATTCATTTAGCGTAAGTAGGTCAGGTCTAATGAGAGAGTGCAACAACATAGATGAAAGATGTAGCAAATAAAGAACGACTGACCAGTTTGCATAATGCCCCAACACGCTACATCAGCCAGGAAAATCAAATGATTTCAATTAAAAATTTAATTTTTTTTATCCAGTATTGCCAGTTCTGCAAAATACATCTAATACATAATGTATTCATTGGCATATTTAACCAGAATCCTGTAAATAAACAAATGTACAACAATGAAAATAGAATTCTTTGGCAGATAAAGCATTCAGCTTCTAGCGTTTATTATTCCCTATGAGCAATCATATGTAAACATGAATGGCTACCAGAGCACAGACTAGCTGTAGCCATACTAGGGGGTAAATTATGTTCACCCTAATCTTCAACCTAATTTTTGTGCTCCATTGACTCCAAGAATTAATGGCTACATTGAATGCTTTGTGAGATCAGTCACCTCTACATATTGTTGGTGTCTCTGTACCAGTTCACGCTAATTTTTCCCAGCTAGTCAAGTGTGAAAAGATAAAACAAATGAAGATTAGTGATTGCTTGGGAGACGTGAAAAAAATCCTTAGTCTATGGCACAGCACCCATGGCATAGTGTATTGCTGGTCTTCAGTCTATGGTACAGTACATATTGCATATTGTTTTGCTGGTCTTCAATTTATGGCACAACACCCATTGGATTTAAATTTGAACCCCCCCCAGTCTAGTGCACAGCACCCATTGCATAGTTGATTGCAGGTCCCCAGTCTAGAGCAGAGCAACCATTGCATATTATAAAACAGGTCCCTATTCCAAAGCACACTGTGTATATTACATTGCAGGTCCCCAGTCTATGCCACAGCACTCCTTGAATATTGTATAACAGGTCCCCTGTCAATGGCACAGCTGCCATTGCATTTTGTATTGGATGTCCATAGCATCCATTGCATCTTGTATTGCAGGTCCCCATTCTATGGCACCCCTGTTGCATATCGTATAGCAGGTCCCTTGTATGTGGAATAGCACCCACTGCATAGTGTGTATCAGGATCCCAGTCTTTGGAATGGCACCCATTGCATACTGTGTATCAGGATCCCAGTCTATTAAACGGCACTCATTGCATACTGTGAATCAGGATCATAGTCTATGCAATAGGACCCATGCATATTGCATATCAGAATCCCATTGCATATTTTAATGCAGGATCCCAGTCTATGGAATAGCACCCATTGCATATTGTATATCAGGATCACGGTCTATGGAATAGCACCCATTGCATATTTTAACGTAGGATCACAGTCTATGGAATAGCCCCCATTGCATAATTTAATGCAGGATCCCAGTATATGGAATAGCAGCCATTGCATGTTATATATCATGTCCCCAGTCTATGGAATAGCCCCCATTGCATGTTGTAGATTATGTACCAGTCTATGGAATAGCCCCTATTGCATGTTGTAGATCTTGTCCCCAGTCTATGGAAAAGCCCCCATTGCATGTTATAGATCATGTCCCCAGTCTATAGAAAAGCCCCCAATGCATGTTATAGATCATGTCCCCAGTCTATGGAAAAGCCCCCAATGCATGTTATATATCATGTTCCCAGTACATGGAATAGCCCCTATTGCATGTTGTAGATCATGTTCCCAGTCTATGGAAAAGCCCCCATTGCATGTTATAGATCATGTCCCCAGTCTATAGAAAAGCCCCCAATGCATGTTATAGATCATGTCCCCAGTCTATGGAATAGCACCTATTGCATGTTATAGATCATGTCTCCAGTCCATGGCACATATTGTACGGCTGAGCTCTCCTCCGCTTCATCCACTGTTGCCGCAACACCAGAAGCAGACGGCTGTGATAAGAGGATCGTGAGTAATCGTATGAAGCCATTACCTTTTTGTGTCTGTCCTTCTTCCATGTTCTCCTCCATGTCCGGTTGTGCTGTAGAAGAAGCTGTGCGGAGTACACTGGCAGTGCTGTGTGCTGGGACTCAGTGTAGGTTTGGGGGGCACCCGGAGCACAGGCTGCCTTGTGTGTGATGCTCGCACTCCCTCTCTGGCTGACTTGCTTGCACACAGCCTGTCAAGTGGAATCTCATTCAAATTACTCTTCCGTGAAGATGATTAATTCCTCTCCTCAAAGCTTTCCATTGTACACCAGCACAAGCATGTAGTGGTGTCAGCAAGGAGGCTATGGCTTAGGGTGGCAGCATGCGAAGCTCCCCTGTACCCAGCTACGGTGCTAAGGTACAGCCTGTAGACTGATGGTGGGATTGATGTGTGAGCCTGGAATCAGGAGCAGGCTGCAGTGAGAACAGATGAAGGGGCGTATCTCTCCAGGAAAAAAAACACACCAACTGCAAATACCCCCTGCCTGCTGGACCCCAATGTCTGTGGGCACTGTCTGCTGCAGCAGCACAGGCTAACCCCCTCCTTCCCTAATCAGACCAACTCCATGATTTGCTGCTCTTGTTTTTATTGATTGCCATTCTATTCTAAACCCCTATTTGCAATGCATGAAGCCAATGTATTGATATAGGTTGATGCTGCCTGTGATGTCACCATAGACACTGGAACGCTTGTACACTGGGTACAGTGCCAATGGGAGGCTGCGCTGCTTTGTCTGCGCTCCCTCACAACGAAGGATGCAGAGAAGTGCCATTTGCAGGGAGATCTTGTTAGCCTGGCAGTCTCATTTGGAACACAAATGTAACAATCTGCAGTCTAAAGGCGAACTGCAGCTCATGTCTTTGTGAGTGACAGTCCCCCCCCCCCGTCCCCCCTTCTGATCACCAGCAAGCTAGAACAGTTCTCAGGTGGCGTGGCAGTGCCAGTTTGTGCCTGCTTGTTTACACAATGCTTCCTCCACACACACTGATCTCACAACACTTGTACTGGAAAGATGGGGATAGAAAAAAAAAAGGAAAATCAGGTTTTAATTCCAAGACAATGGGAGATCATTTCAGTGTGGCCAAACCCTCAGCGATCTTCCCTCCTCACTAGCAGAAATACAAAGCGGCAGAACATGGCAAGGTTTTCATTTTCAGGAATCCATTTCCATAGTGGCAGCGACTACAAACATTTTCCAGACAGCTGTTATTTTGTTTTTTTCAACCAACCCATTTGGTTTTTATTGTCACCGTCCAAAATATGTAATGAGAAGTATGTTACATTTTTATAAACGTCGGCATGTGCACAGCAATGTTTTAAAGCTCAACTCTGGGATGAGCAAATATTGTCTAAATACTAGAGGCGTGTGTATTGTTTCATAAATGTGGGAATGATTTGTGTATTTCTTCCAGGTCGGTGTAGTAATCCAGCCTTAAACTTTACCTCTGTACAGGAGCTTCCGGCTATAAAGACCAGTCACTGCTTCTCATTTCCCTTGGCAGGGTTACTGGTCTTGTATCCGTCCCCTCTTGTAATAAACACCAGTCACTGCTGCTCTCTCTCTTTGTACAGGGTAACTGGTCTTGTATGCGCCCCCTCCTGTAATAAAGACCAGTCACTGTTGCACTCTTTCTCTCTGTACAAGGCGTCTGGTCTTGTATGCACCCCCTCCCGTAATAAAGACCAGTCCCTGCTACTCACTCCCTCTCTCTCTCTTTGTACAGAGTGACTGGTCTTGTATTCACCCCTTCCTGTAATGAAGACCAGTCACTGCTGCTCTCTCCCTTGTGTAGGGGGACTGGTCTTGTACCTGCAACATTCAGTAATTAAGACCAACCAATACTGTTCTCTCCCTTGTGTAGGGGGACTGGTCTTGTACCTGCAACCTTCAGTAATAAAAACCAGCCACTGCTGTTCTCTCCCTTGTGTAGGGGGACTGGTCTTGTACCTGCAACCTTCAGTAATTAAGACCAACAGATACTGTTCTCTCCCTTGTGTAGGGGGACTGGTCTTGTACCTGCAACCTTCAGTAATAAAGACCATCCACTGCTGTTCTCTCCCTTGTGTAGCGGGACTGGTCTTGTACCTGCAACCTTCAGTAATAAAGACCAGCCACTGCTGTTCTCTCCCTTGTGTAGGGGGACTGATCGTGTACCTGCAACATTCAGTAATTAAGACCAACCAATACTGTTCTCTCCCTTGTGTAGGGGGACTGGACTTGTACCTGCAACCTTCAGTAATAAAGACCAGCCACTGCTGTTCTCTCCCTTGTGTAGGGGGACTGGTCTTGCACTTGCCCCCTTCAGATAAAAAAAAAATCACACGGGAGAGAGTCAGGTGCATTGTTAGTGTCTTTGGAAAAGTGTGTTCACCTGGATGCCAACTATAAGCACTGTGACTGAAATGGTGTGTGCCACTGGCTCTCACTTATCCAGCATTTCAATAAAACTAACAGTACCTGTAGGTGGAAGCCAGGTACATTGGCAGTGTCAATGGTGGATAGGTGGGAGCCACGTGCACACACCATTCCATTGACACTGACTGCATACATTGCCTTCTGCCGGTACGAGTGTAGTATCCGCACCCCGTACTGCCGTGTAGCACAGCCCTGCATTCCGGATTTTGAATTTCACTTGCAAATGGGGAACACTCATTAGTCAGTGCAGTCACCTGACCAATGAGAAGCGTTTCTGACTGTGCTGACCAATGAGTGCTCGCAGGGCCGGTGCTAGGATTCGTGCCTACACAGGCAAAGTGATTTTTGCGCCCCCCCGACCCTGACCCCCTTGTAAAAACAGGGCATTTTGACAAGTACTTGTACTTGTCAAAATCCCCCGATGTTTGCACTATGTTTTTTGTTTTTTTTCACTTACCTTCGGTGCGGGAGAGCAGCAGCGAGTCAGCGCTGGTCCAGTGGGAGGAGCTCCAGGTGGGGTCCTAATTTAGCTGGCCAGCGACTGCCTGAGGTGCCGCGCGTGTTGGGATCCTCAGGCAGTCGCCGGCCTGCTAAATTAGGACCCCACCTGGAGCTCCTGCCACTGGACCAGCGCTGACTCGCCACTGCTCTCCCGCACCGAAGGTAAGTGAAAAAAAAAAAAAGCATAGCGCAAACTTTGGGGCATTTTGACAAGTACAAGTACTTGTCAAAATGCCCTGTTTTTTCCGCCCTCACCCTGCAGCGCCGTAAGGCGGCCGCCTGACTTGCCTTGTGGTAGCGCCGGGCTCCATTTGCTAGCAAAATGTAAAATCCTGAGTGCAGGGCTACATACATGGCAGTACGGGGGATGTATACTACACTCGTACCGGTGGAGGGGAAGGAGTGTTCGCCGAAAAGGTAAGTACAGCAGGGGAGGAGGCCAGATTTGAAATTGTGATTCCATTTTCCTAGATTCACTTAGGAAAGTGGATTTACCCTTTAAGATGTTGATTTGCATTTGTACTAGATTGTGCAGTGTCTAGCTGCACATAAATGTTAAAATGTTTTTCTAGAATGACTATAATGTGATGCAGGTCAAGACAGAAAAGACCTGGGTGAGATATAGTGCCTGGCCATTGAGCATGTCCTTTTCAAACAGAAAAGGCCATGTTAGTCATCAAGGAATGAATTTGCCTAGCAGCAGTTTGTACAGATTACATTGAAATATCTTCAACAAAGAGTTTTGGTAAGATAACCTGACAAAAAAAAATACCAACCCTATATATACTATAAAGCAATCTACTAAATGCTGAAATGATTTTCAATAAGTAAAATCTTGTGTGCCTTTTCCAGTTTTGACTTTCTCCTAGTGCTTGTCATAGGCTGCATGACACTCAAGCTATCCCCACTCTAATTTTTACATTTTATCTAAAGCCAAAAAGGACTTTTTTAGTTTTGAATAGACTGGTGAGGTGAGGGGTTAGAGCCCCTCTCTTTGTCCACACTAGGGACATTCAGGCTTGACTGTCCACTGTCACCAAGAGAATAAATGTAATTAATGTTACCTCTGCACTCTGTTGAAGTCTGTTCTGTGCTCAATCAGCTTCTACTAGACATGTGCGATTCGTTTCGTTCCGAATCGAAATTCGGACGAATTTTCGGAAATTCGGACATTCGGATGTATCCGAATTACAGACATAGCGAATGCAAACGAATCCGAATTTCCATTTCCGAAATTCGGTAGCGTTAGTACGAACGTTCGTTTCGTTTTCTGTTCTTATTCGTTTCTTATTCGTTTCGTTCGTTGGAGCAAAGTGACATTAGAGAAGGAGAAAAAAAAAATTTCCCCCTCAAATGTCACTTTTGCTGCAAACGAACGAAACGAATAAGAACAGAAAACGAAACGAACGTTCGTACTAACGCTACTGAATTTCGTCCGAATCCGAATTCCGAATCCGAATTGACTTTCACACCCGAATCCTGAAAAACGAAATAACACAAATCCGAATTTAAAACAAAACTTAACTAAACAAATTTTTTGGCAGTGCACATGTCTAGCTTCTACCCCAGCCAAAGCACCAGGGCTTTATTAGCTATAAATCCAGACATGCTCAGAGCTGAGTGGTTCAAGGTTCACACTATCTTGGGAAGTAGTTTGCTGTTCTCCTGCTGCTCTCCATCTTGACACCTGCCCAGGGCCGTCTTTAATATTAATTGGGCCCTGGGCAACATTTTGCTATGGGCCCCCTGACTCCATCACTCGACCCCCTACTTCCCGATCCAGACCCCCGTATCCGCCTACATCTCCTTCACGCTAAAAGAAATGAAAAAATTAAATAAATAAATAGTATCCCCCCCCCCAAGCCTGGGCTCCCCTTCCCATCCCCAGCATCATCCATTGCCATTGACTGCCGCTCCACTCTTTGGAGCGGCAGACAATGGGTAGAGATGAGCCCATCTCCGGCTGCTCCCAGCACTCAAAGTTCGGCCGAGGCTCCTTGTTCGAAAGGCTGCTCGGCTCGACTCTCTACAGGCTCCAGACGTGCATCTCAGGCCTGAGTGCCCTACAGATCCAATGGCCACTACATGTCAATCACCGCCCCCCCCCGGGCAGCTACCTATACTAGACCCAGCCCTGACTGTCAACATGTCAGCAGTCCCTCGGCCCAGTCCACCCCTGCCACCAGCAATGCCGCTGCTCTCCTGCCTGCTGCTGTGGGCGAAAGGGACAGCTGCTGTGGGCCCCTGTAAATTATAGGGCCCAGGGCAGTTGCCGCTTTTGCCCTGCGGTAAAGACGGCCCTGCCCCTGCCATGGAGGTACCAGGCCCCCAAAAGTGGCATGTAAGCCCAGGACAC